CCTGGCGTGAGTTTTAAGCCACCGGGTCCGGGACGTAACCCGCGGTCGACTACGTGGGAGTCCAGCGACATAGCCGTTACGCTAACTGCTGGTTCCCTATTCTCAATATTTTTATATCGAGTGCTGCATTTTTCCAGAATCCGCATGATAAACTCTATTACAAGCCCTACTGAGTCCCCAGATGTCAGACGATGGGTGACTGACCCCGAGCTACACCAGCTTCCGCCCCCAGTCGGTACTGAGTGGTCACCGCACAGCAGGCCCGAGCCAGGCCGATTACCAAGTGGCCCTGAAAGGAAACGAGAACATGGAACCCACAGGAAATCTCATGCAAGCCCGAGGACGGACCGATGTGTGCAAGGAGCCTCCTGAGCTGTCTCCATAGGCAGGACTGCGCAGACGGACGGGCTACGGTGAACACCGCGTGCTTTCCACAGAGGAAGAGGCCCGGCACAGCTGGGTCCAGGCTCCCTCCCTCCTCTCCCGGGGGTGGACAGGCCGACGGCCGGTGAGGAGCCCCAGGACGCCGCAGCCTTCCACAGCGCTGCCTTCGTCACCAGTCACCTCCTAGGACTCTGGGGGCAGCGGAGCCATGACACGCCCTGTCAGGTGGCCACTCCCACGGGCGGGAGGTGACGCCCGTCACACACCGAGACGCTGCTGAGACGTGGACTGAGGGACGGCAGCCTGGCAGCAGCAGCGCTGAGCACTTCATCTTGGAGCAGCAGAGAAACACTGCTCTGGGGCACAGACACCCTCACCTGTGCAAAGGGCACCTCCTGCTTTTAAAGGTCTCAGCTGCAGATGCACTGCACAGCGTCACCGGCTAGTCACAGAGATACAGACAGTTTCCCAAAGAAATGTTGGCACCAACGAACTAAGGAAAACAGTCAAACAGTGATAAGGGTACGGTCCCATCAGCTGAAGCGCAGCCACGGGTCTCCACGGCCTGCAGCCAACAGCACTGAGTGCGCTTCGACCCGCTCACACAGGCGGCCTCACACCAAGTTTTCTTATCACAGTAAAATATTTAAAAACCACATGGGGTGTGTGTGAACGAGACTCTAACCACCACCAACCACAACGACCACGAAAAATAGACTTTCCTCATTCTCCTCAGAACTGTCTGGCCTCTGTGCCTGGTTCTGGACTTCCGTCGTACCCAAGTCTGTCCCCTGGAGCCAATACACACTGTTCTAGAACCGCTGTTTTCAGCACCAGGAACATAGTTACAGTTTCTGAAAGAGATGTATGTTTCTCCTAACACCTTTAATTTTCAAATAAAGATGTCCTTTGGGAGCAGTAGTTAGCGAAATGGCTATGTCGCTGGACTCCCACGTTGTCAACCGCGGTTCGAGTCCTGGACCCGGCGGCTTAAACTCATGCCGGGCATGTGTGCATGCATGCCCAAGATCCCGAGAGGAGAATGGAGGAGAAGGGATTGCAGCGTGGCCATCCCCCTTGGGGGGTGATTTCTCGCTTTCTGTCTCTCTGACTGTCTCTGTCTGTCTGGTGAGCACATGTGCCCTATAGTGAAAGCCTCTCCAAAAAAAAAAAAAGATGTCCTTTTATACTCTATTAATTATTATAAAATAACCAACTAAAATTGCAAATGTATAGAGTGGAAAGTGAAAGTAATTGCGAAAACTGCACATACTTATTTTGTAGGTGAGGTGGACTCAGCCCATTTCAATATATAATACATTTATATAGTTACACAAATACATTAATATATACTTGCCCAAATTCAAATTTGCTACAGACTTCCTTTTCTAGCGTCTCACCTCACTTCCTGGGAAGCATAAATAACTCAGTGAGGTCAGAAGTCTAAGTTACTACGCACATCATATATCAGTTTGTGTTTTTACTGATTCTGGATTTTGGTTTGCTATCCCAGGGGTGTCGACCACATGAATACTTTCTCCTCCACTCTCCTCTCAGGATGTACACATATGCCCGGCGTGCTTTTCAAGCTTCTGGGTCCGAGACTCAAACCGCACACTCGGTCACGTGAGCTCCAGCAGCCTTAAGCTCTGCACCGCCTGCTGGCCCCCGAAGTCAGCTCTATTGACAGCCTCAGCCATTACTCTCATCTGAAGCGTTCCAAGCCTGAAATCGGGACGTGGCTGTATAACCCCGCACACTTCTCTGCCTGCTGGGGTTACGCTAGCCAGAGTCATTCTCCGGCACCTTCACCTTGTCAGTGTCCAAACTGGGGACAGCAGAGTACGGCCCTCGGCCAGCCAGTGGCGTGGAGGTTAAGGCACCTAGATCCCTCATGGCCGACAGTATAGTTCGAGTCCTGGACCTAGTGGCTTAAAATCAGACTGGGCGTGTGCATGCATGACCAAGTCCTGGAGAGGAGAAGGGAGAGGGACTGCAGTATGGCTATTCCCCCGGGTGGTGACTTCTCTCTCACTCGCCCTCTCTGGAAAGCACATGTGCCCTACAGCAATTTTTCTTAAATGCAAGCTACAATATTATACATGCACTATAAAGCCACTTACACACACACAATGGAAAATCCTGTTTATGGTCACTAACACATGAAAGTATTACAAAGAAGACAGCATTCCTGAGGCCAGCGTGGTGGCGTCAGCAAACTGAACTGCAGCACTGGAAGCCCACAGCCAGGCACGACTTGGCTCGCCACCCCGCCCACCTGCAACACACCCACACATGCCCAGGAGCCTGGCAAGCTGAAAGGCTCGAGAATTCTTGGCATAACAGGCCATGTCAAGGGCACGTCTCTCTCATGAAGAAAAGCTAAACTAGGGACACACACACACGCACACACATACCTGTCCCTGCCAGTATGGAGTGCTGACTGTAAATACAGAAAAAAAAAAAAATCAATTTCTAGGCATTCCTAAAAGCTAGTTCACAATATACCTATCTCAAACACATTTTCTAATTCTTTAAATTCCTCTCTCAAACTCTCCTTGGTTCCTAAGCCAGAGCTACCTATCTGATAAAAGACCTCTGGCCCTAACTCCTTCCCCCAGCACACCTGACTGGCCTGGTCTTCAGCACTGCCCGAGGCCGGCCGTGGAGGAGCCCCTGGTCGTGAGGACGCGCTGTCACGCAGCACCCTGGGTGGAGAGCGTGGAAGCAACAACAACACGGTCTACTTACGAGAGCTTCTGGAAGCAAGAAGAGTGACACGGGACCCTCCGAGGAGCTGAAACCCCATCACGTTCACCTGGTCATCGTCCGGCTGACTGGCGAAGCCTGTTAAAAAGAGGAAGCATCGCCTTAGTAACCACGAGGCACAATCAACACTCAGGCGAAGGTGAGTCAGAGTCTTGCGTCCCTGGCCATGTTAGAGCCCACAGATGAGCTATTGTCACTTGGATTTCTTTCTCTTTTTTTTTAACTTTTTTTTTTTTTAGAGGTTTTTTCTATAGGGTGTGTGCTCACCAGAAAGACAGAGACAGAGAGACTGAAAGCGAGAAATCACCCCCCAGGGGGATGGCCACGCCGCAATCCCTCCTCCTCCATTCTCCTCTCGGGATCCTGGGCATGCACACACACGTGCCCAGCATGAGTTTAAGCTGCCGGGTCCAGGACACGAACCGCAGTCGACTACATGGGAGTCCAGCGACATAGCCGTTACGCTAACTGCTGGTCCCCGGCACTGGGATTTCACAGCAGGTTCCATGGCTGAACCTGCTGCCCAGCAGTCACTCTGGAGTCACTGACTTCCTCTCCTCTAGTGGCCGATTCTAGGTATGAGGCAGAACAAGCACAGGGCGGCCAAGAGCACCATCACACCAGAGAGCAACACGTCTGGTTAGTGAGGACTGGGGGTGCATGGAAAGGGCCTGAGAACCAACTGAAACGGGCTCGCCCAGCCGGCCAGGAAGTGCCGCTCAGTGACACGCACCGCACGGGTGTGAGGCACACGTTCACCGAGATTCCGGACACAATGCAGAACAAAAACAAGTGGTCGTCTGTGGAGGGAATGGGCTCTATTTTAAACTATTATACGTGTTTCTAAAATTAGTAATAAAAAGGAAAAAAAGGCATGCATCGCCCCACGGCGTAGCAGTTACCCAGCACAGAGGAGCCAGGTCCCCAGGGCTGACCAGGGTCGAGTATCAGCTCCAGGAGCTTCAGAAACAGGCCTGGCGCATCAGTCCCATGCCTGGGACCCCGGAGGGGTAGCAGATGCAGGGGAGGGGCTGGGCTCTCCCTCTCGCACACACTCTCTGGCACAGGAAGGGGGTAAAGAACGAAGCGTTTATCCTGACGGCCTCACCCGAGCTGCCCACACTCAGCACAAGCGCAGAAGCTCTCTGTGTAGAAACGCTGCAGGTCGCAGCTGAAGGAAGCGGGCCGGCCTATGGATGGGGGTCAGGCAGCTGAATCCCGCAGGGCTACCTGCATGGCTCGAGTCCTGGACCCAGCAGCTAAAAACATGCGGGAGTGTGTGGGTACACGCATGCACCCAAGTCCCAAGAGAGTGGAGGAGAAGGGACCGTGGCGTGGCCATGCTCCTGAGGGGTCATTACACACGCCCTCCCTCCCCATCTCTCGTGAGCACACACACTCTATAGCAAAAAACCTTTTAAAAAATTGAAGAAAAAAAGCTAAGAGATGACAGCACTCAGGTCAACGGCTGTTCTCACAAGACGAGAGGCAGGCGCCATGTCCCCTCTGTGAAGGCGTGGGGCTGTGCCCTCCTATGACAGGCTACACTCCGACAGCCGATGGCCCTCCAGGCACGACACACCACACTAGCCTACCGTACCTCAGGTGCTCGACACGCCGACACCAGCCCACCGCCGGCCAGGCCATCCACCATAGCCTATCTTATAACCGCCTGGGCATCACGTGCACTCACTGAATACTAAGTGGATATCAGGGTCCTTGTGGCCCTCACCCACCACGGGGAAGCCAAGGAACACGCAGAGCCATTAAGGCAGGGGCCGTCTGCACTGCGACCCTCACACGGGCTGAAACGCTCCACCTGACTCTACTCTCCACGCGACCACCATTCAGGCTTCCCGTGGCAGACACACACGGCACCATGCGATTCACCCTGAAAATCAGTAAAAAAGGAAATTCTGCCACTCATGGAACATGGGTGAACTGGAACACCTGCTCAGTGCAAAGCCCTGGCCCTCCTAGGAAACACCGCGCTATGGCACGTGGATGTGGAGTGGGGGCGGGGCTCACAGAGGAGGGAACACGAAGGGGTCGCCCAGGAGGGCTGGGGACGGTTGGGGGTACTGGGAAGACACTGGCTAGAGGACACAAGGTCAGCTGGACAGCGGGATCGGCTCGTGATCTGCTCATGCGTGGTTCTGTATTTATGCACAATGTGCTTCACACCTGAAAACTGCTACGAGTGGAGCTTTACAGAGCTCTCAGCACAGAGACCGGCGTGTGAGGTAATGCACACGTACATCAGAACATCACACTGTACATGACAGATACATGCAATTTTTATCAATTAAAAAGGAACAGTATTTGGGGACCAGCAGATGGCATAATGGTTACATCGCTGGACTCCCATGTAGTGGACCGCGGTTCTTGTCCTGCACCTGAGAGCTCAAAACTCACACCCGGTACACGTGCATGTGTGCCCGAAATCCCGAGAAGATGGAGAAAAAGCGAGTGCTGTGTAGCCATCTTCCCTTGGGGGCGACTTCTCACTTTCTGTCTCTCTCTATCTCTCTGGTGAGCACACGTGCCCTGTAGTCAAAATCTCTCAAAAATAAAATAAAGAGGAGGGTAACTGGGCCAGCAGGTAGTTCTGGGTGAAGGTGACGGTCCCACGTGGCCGGCTGTGTGGTTTCAACTGCAGACACGCCAGAAAATGGCCTGCATGCCCAGAATCCCAGGGAGAGAAGGGAGAGGGACGTGGCATGGCCACCCCCTTCGGAGGTGATTGTTCACATTCTCTCTCTCCCCCCTTCTCTCTGGCAAGACAGGCACCCTATAGCACAAGCCACTGGGGCATCGGAAAAATCACATGTTTTTCTATGCAAAAATGCATCATGACTTTTCCAATGACCCGTAATACAAAAGTTTTTTAAATAGGATCAACAGGTACATGGTAGTTAAGGTGCTGGACTCTGACATGGTCGACCACAGTTTGAGTCCTAGGCCTGGTGACTTGTTTTCTCACTGTCCTTCTCTCTCTGTCTCTCTATAGTAAGCACATGTGCCCTATAACAAATTAAAAATAATAAAAAGGAACCAGCAGATGGAGTAATGGTTACATCACCAGACTCCCACGTCGTCGATCATGGCTCGAGTCCCAGACCTGGCAGCTTAAAACTCACACCAAGTGCGTGTGCGTGCATGCCCAAAATCCCAAGAGAAGAATGGAAGAGAAGGGACTGCAGTGTGGCCGTCCTCCTGGGGAGTAACTTTTTGCTTTCTGTTTCTCTGTCTCTCTGTCTCTGTCTTTCTGGTGAGAGCACATGCCCTATAGCAGAAATCTCTCTAAAAATATAAACACTAATAATAATAATAAAATTAAATATTTTATAAATAAATTAATTTTTGAAGGACGAGGATATCAGATGGGAAATTTTAGACACTAGTAAGTGGCTGAGGATTTACATAACGGGTATTCCAGACAGCAGAGAGAGGGGAAGCTGTGGGAAATCTATTCCACGAAATGCTACCTGAAACTTCCCAAATTAGAAAGACACAGACATCCAGGAGCCAGCAGGTGGCATGGTGGCTAAGGGCACTAGACTCCCACAGGGCTGAGCGCAGTTCAAGTCCTGGACATGGTGGCTTGCTTTTTCACTTTCTCTTTCTCACTTTCTCTCTCTCTCTCTCTCTCTCTCTCTCTCTCTCTCTCTCTCATTCTGTCCCTCTTTGGTCAAATTAAAATGAATGCAGGTGAATAAAACATTCTTTTTTTACACATCCAGAAACAGGAAATAAACAGAAAAACAAATATTCAACATAAGACAAGCCTCTCCAAGGCATACCATAGCCAAAGCAAAAGTCAAGCACAAAGTCGCTGTTCTAGTCAGCCGTGTTCTAGCAACGCAGGCATTGTGTTACGCCACATGCTGGTCCACCATAAATTTCTCGACCGCGTGTGGAACGTTCTCTGTGTTCGGAACCCTATCATTAACACACGGGATGTGTGTCATAGCCAATGGTGCTGGTTTTCAAAGAGGATCTCGAAGGCTGACTCAATTCTCAGACGTTTTCCCTTAACTCTCCCCAATCTCCAAGCTAACAGAGTCTAGAAACCTCAGTTTCTGCAGGTGTTTCCAACTACTCACATCATCTTTTATTTTCTAAGCTACTCAGCGAGAACTGACACCAAGAGAAAGCCCACCTTCACAAATGACCCTCACGCTCACTGCAACGCCGTGCTTCACGCAGGAGGCCTCTAACACTGCCGTGCACAGAATGGACTCCGGCCCCGCCCCTGCTATCACAGCAGGGCCAAACGACACCACGTGGGAGGCCACTTTTCATGGGCATAGAAAAAGGTACGTATCTAAAAGCCTTCGGTGAAGACGGGTCATAAATACGTACTTAGAAAAGGATGTATGTGTTAAAACTTACAATAAAGATAAAGATAAATGTTTACATTCCAAGTCAAAAAGTCCAGAGTCTAAAGGAAGTATCTGTGATTTCTATTTCTGAGTACCATAGCAAAATTATTAGAATAAGTTTAATCAAACTTAAAAGGGGTGCCTTATTACCTCGCCGATATAAACTATTCGCCTTTGATGGGCAAGTAAGAGGGAGAACCTTGTAGAATGCCCCAGCGTTACCTGCTGAGGAAGGCTTCCATTCTAAATTCTCGGCTTTGCAGATGTGACCGGCAACTACCCCAAAGTCCTACCTGGGAAGAGCGCGAGAAGGCTGACAGCGGGCTTGTTCGTGTCAATAGTCAGTCTGTGGCTTGCAGTTTTTGAAGGCTGACCTGGTAGGCAGACTAACTTCAGGGGAAGTCTAAATTTACACTGGACAGCCCGAGGAATGCCTGAAGCAAAAGAGAGAAATGCAGATTCATAGATTTGACAAGTAATTTGGCAAAAAAGAGAAAAAAAACCTGTGCTGTTATTTCAGTAGCAACATCTTAGTTTGTAAGTTTATCACAAGCCTGTTTGACTTGGCACAACTGAAGTAACTATAAAATATTATCACAATTCTTTTTATTTTATATATATATATATATATAGAGAGAGAGAGAGAGAGAGAGAGAGGAGAGGTTTTTGCTATAGGGCGCATGCCCTCACCAGAGAGACAGAGACAGATAAAGAGATAGAAAGTGAGAAATCACCCCCCCGGGGGGTGGGGAATGGCCACGCCACAATCCCTTCTCCTCCTTTCTCCTCTCATATCTTGGGCACGCACATACACGTGCCCGGCATGAGTTTAAGCCACCAGGTCCAGGACTCAAACTGTGATCAACTACATGGGAGTCCAGTGACATAGCCATTACGCTAACTGCTGGTCCCTCATACTTTTTAATATTCTTAAAAAGTACAAAACAAAATAAAATGCCAAAAGAAATGTCTCTAATATTATTTCTTTTTATTTTTCTTAGATTTTTGCCATAGGGTGTGTGCTCACCAGAGAAAAACAGAGATAGAGAAGAGGGAAACTGAGAAATCATCCCCCCAGGGGGATGGCCACACCATAACCCCTTCTCCTACATTCACCTCTCAGGATTTGCGGCATGCACACACATGTGCCTGGAGTGATTTTTAAGCTACTAGATCCCACTGGGTCTGAAATTCTAACTGCGGAGTCAGCGATGTGGGATCCAGCTGCCTTAACCACCATGCCCACCACCTGCTGGTCCCTCTAAAATATATGTGTGTGTGTGTATATATGTGTGTGTGTGTGTGTATGTGTGTGTGTGTGTGTATATATGTGTGTGTATACATTTGTGTGTGTATATATATGTGTGTGTGCATATATGTGTGTATATGTGTGTATATGTGTGTATATATATGTGTGTGTATATATATGTGTGTGTATATATATGTGTGTGTATATATATGTGTGTGTATATATATGTGTGTGTATATATATGTGTGTGTATATATATGTGTGTGTATATATATGTGTGTGTATATATATGTGTGTGTATATATATGTGTGTGTATATATATGTGTGTGTATATATATGTGTGTGTATATATATGTGTGTGTATATATATGTGTGTGTATATATATGTGTGTGTATATATATGTGTGTGTATATATATGTGTGTGTATATATATGTGTGTGTATATATATGTGTGTGTATATATATGTGTGTGTATATATATGTGTGTGTATATATATGTGTGTGTATATATATGTGTGTGTATATATATGTGTGTGTATATATATGTGTGTGTATATATATGTGTGTGTATATATATGTGTGTGTATATATATGTGTGTGTATATATATGTGTGTGTATATATATGTGTGTGTATATATATGTGTGTGTATATATATGTGTGTGTATATATATGTGTGTGTATATATATGTGTGTGTATATATATGTGTGTGTATATATATGTGTGTGTATATATATGTGTGTGTATATATATGTGTGTGTATATATATGTGTGTGTATATATATGTGTGTGTATATATATGTGTGTGTATATATATGTGTGTGTATATATATGTGTGTGTATATATATGTGTGTGTATATATATGTGTGTGTATATATATGTGTGTGTATATATATGTGTGTGTATATATATGTGTGTGTATATATATGTGTGTGTATATATATGTGTGTGTATATATATGTGTGTGTATATATATGTGTGTGTATATATATGTGTGTGTATATATATGTGTGTGTATATATATGTGTGTGTATATATATGTGTGTGTATATATATGTGTGTGTATATATATGTGTGTGTATATATATGTGTGTGTATATATATGTGTGTGTATATATATGTGTGTGTATATATATGTGTGTGTATATATATGTGTGTGTATATATATGTGTGTGTATATATATGTGTGTGTATATATATGTGTGTGTGTGTATATATATATATAATGTATTTTGTTGTTTTTTTGTTGTTTTGGTTTGGTTTGGGTTTTGAGATTTTTGCAATAGGGCATGTGAACTCACCAGAGAAACAGAGAGTGAGAAATCACTCCCCAGGGGGAGGGCCGCGCTGCAATCCTTTCTTTTCCAGCCTCCTCTCTGGAATTTAAACTCGCACACACATGTGCCCAGCATAAGTTTCAAGCCACTGGGTCTGAGACTCTAATTGTGGTTGATGCCGTAGGAGCACACAGCAACATAACCATTACGCCACCTCCTGGTCCCTCTAATGCTATATTTTTAAGTCATCACATTGGACACGACATAAAACACTATCACTACATTCAATTACTGAGCTAAGTCCTTAAACTAAACCCCTCAAAGATCTAGTCCTTCCCCAAGATTGTAAGTTAAAATGAACATAGATATGAAGCTTGTCAGTAAGACTCTATATGACCAGATCTAAAAGTTTCTCTACCCAAAAGCTTTTTAAATCTGTAGCAGTTTTACTTACTGAAGATTCGAATTATATTAACAATTTTCAATAGATTAAGTGCATGAAACTAGAACAGGCTCTTCTGAGGTCCTGAAGTCCTTGTCCATCTTACACATAAACATTAAAGACTGCTGCTTCCACTGAATTAAACGTTTTCTTTTTTAAAGAATTATTTTATTTGATTGATTGATTGATTGATTGATTTTCATATGAGTCACAGTCACCAGAGAAAGAGAGGGAGAAATGGAAAGTGAGAGAGCGAGGTGCCAGGCCTGCAACCTGAACTGTGGTCAGCACCTCAACCACCCCATCATCTGCAGGTCCCAAATTAAATGTTTTCCAAGACATTTGTGTGTATCACTATGATATTTTGAAAAGTTTACGCAGTCATTCTGTTGCCAAATGTTTTCAAAACCTGTATATTGTAATGGGTAATAAAATAAATAATGAAATTTTACATCCTGACTTATTCTTTTCAATATTTTTACGTAGAATGAAACTAAAACCAAAGCAAATTAGACCCTCTATGTGTACATCTAGAACAGCCATAATACAATTTTAGCTTTCTCTCCTTTTATTCTAGGGTTCTTTTGACTGGATAAGATCAAAGAAAAAAAGATAACATAGAGAAACCTACTTCTTAGCATACTGCTGTAGAGAAATGAGAAACGCAAAAATGCTCTATTCAGCCCCACAACCCACGTTAGTCCCTTTGTTTCTTTATGCTGGAGTGGGCGGGCGTTTTAAAAATCAGAAGCAGTCTGTTTGGAGACCTGGCCCTGGGACAGGACCTCCGGAGTTGGCGACCTGATCATTACTGAGCCTTACTGCCGTCGGCCAGGACTGAGTGGCTCACGCTGTGGCGCCCAGTGCACCTCCAGTACCGCGGACTCCTGCAGGGCCACGCCGGGCGGGGGGGGTCATCCTCATGGGCAGGTGCAGTGACGGAGGGGGCCGCCAAACCCCCTCAGAGCGCGCGAGCACATGACACTGTCCTCAACATAATCAAGTACCTGTCAATTTTTTTTTTTGTGAGGTTTTTTTATAGAGCACGTGCGCTCGCCAGAAAGACAGAGAGAGACAGACAGAAAGCAAGAAATCACCCCCCAGGGGGGATGGCCACGCCGCAATCCCTTCTCCATTCTCCTCTCAGGATCTTGGGCACGCACCCACACGCACCCAGTGTGAGTTTAAGCCGCTGGGTCCAGGACTCGAACCATGGTCGACTACGTGGGAGCCCAGCAACACAGCCATTATGCCAACTACTGGTCCCGAGTACCCATCAAATTTAACCAAGTTCATTTTCCTGCTCATAACCACAAATGTTAAATTCACTTCTCCTGGAATCCTGGACTTAAATTATAACTGGCGTCCTTTAAGAAAAGTCCAAGGGTAATTTCCTGATAGTCTGTGAGGTTTTCAGAGGCATGTGTATTTGCACTTTACAATGATGGAATGTTTTAACTCAGAAATTATGGTAGCATGATCTAAGCTACTGCCCAAACAACAGCTATCAATAACCCTGCAACAACAACAAATTACAAAGCACTTCTTTACCAACCTCACGTAAACTTCCATATTCTCTATATATCCTCAAATTATGGAAATATATCCACTGATTAAGTTTCCTCTACCATAAATAAATTACAGCCTCTGCGGTTCACGTCCCAGACCCAGTGGCTTAAAACTCACGCCGGGCGGGTGTGTGTGCGTGCCCAAGATCCCGAGAGGAGAACGGAGGAGAAGGGATTGCGATGTGACCATCCCCCTGGGGGGTGATTTCTCGCTTTCTGTCTCTCTGTCTCTGTCTGTCTGGCGAGCGCACGCGCCCTATAGCGAAAACCTCTCCAATAAAACATAATAATTATACTGCTGAGACCATGGGTGTTATTTCCCTTGAGTCAGGGCTGAGTTCAAAGTAAAAAGAATTAAACATGATCAACAACACTGGCTTCACGCCGCTGACTCTGTACTTAAGAATATTACCCTAAACCTCCAAGAGTCTAGAACTAAAGAAACTGGTGGTGCATGTAAGTTTTCAGAAATCAAAACAGACAGACTGAGAACACCGATAGAACACCGATAAGCCCGAGCAGGTTTTTGCACTGCCACTCAGTCCACAGCACAGTGGTGGAGGGCAACCTCGCCACGGCCAACGGCGCACAACCGCCCCGGCATGCAACCACCCCAGTGTGCAGAACCCTTCTGGACACCCCTCGCCCCCAGGTTCTGTAAACCTGTTTCATGGGACGTTTGGAAAACATTACCTTGCAAAATGATGACACCCATGCTTAATAAAATGATCATGACTAGTTTTTAGATGATGGCAGCTTGAAAGCTTTACCATTAGGAGGGAAAAAAAGTATAAAAGCCTTTTTTTATTTTTTTATTTTTTTATTTTTGGAGAGGTTTTTGCTATAGGGCGCGTGCACTTGCCAGACAGACAGAGAAACAGAGAGACAGAAAGCAAGAAATCACCCCCCAGGGGGGATGGCCACGCCACAATCCCTTCTCCTCCAGTCTCCTCTCGGGATCTTGGGCACACACGCACACGCGCCCAGCATGAGTTTTAAGCCACCGGGTCCGGGACGCGAACCGCGGTCGACTATGTGGGAGTCCAGCGACATAGTCATTATGCTAACTACTGGTCCCTAAAAGCCTTTAGAAACCAGTTTAAGAAGATCATACCTTTAAAAGAAAAATTAGAATGCCATCAAATTAAAATCAAAGCACTGGAAAATGCAATCTCTAGTATTCAGACGGATTTTTCAGAGGCGCTTTTCTACTGTAGGTGCATTTCGTTGAGAAACTCGAAGTGTAAATTTGGCTACCAGTGACTGCCAACTCTCAGTGTGTCTAAGACCCTGCAGCCAAAAGCTGGGGGAGGTCTGTGTGGGTGTGTGCGTCTGTAACAGGGAAGGAAAGAGCTACGTGTATTTAAAGACGCTTTCTGTGTTGCTAGTTACACGGCTTTCCAGGTAGCTCACAGAGCCTGAGTGCCCTAACTTCACGTACCACAGCAACGATCTCTCTACATAGTTGGCAAAAAAATCTCGATAGCTGGACTATTCAACTCTCAGAGACCTCTGCTGAGAAAAAATAAGTTTTTGTCAGGACCAGCAGTTGGCATATGTCACTGGACTCCCATGTAGTCGACCGCAGTTCGAGTCCTGAAAACAGCGGCTTAAACTCACGCTGGATGTGTGTACATGCATGCCCAAGATCCCGAGAGGAGAATGGAGGAGTGGAGGAGTCGGACTCAGCACGTTGGCAAGGCCACGCCCCCCTCCCCCCACCCCAC